CCCCAAAACCCCAAAACCCCAAAACCCCACTTAGTATAAATAAATTTGAAATAACAGTAAAGAAATGAGAAATAGTCAGTTGTATGACATGTGAAATATCTGATTCAAGCTTATGAGTGGAATAAGTGTCTGGACACACTCCCACAACAAATAAGAAGGCATGAAACATCAACCCATCAAACTCGACCACATCGGGAGAAATTAATTCTGATACAGACAAAAGAATTATTCAGGCTCTTGTTTCAATAGATATAGTAATGTCTGTGGTTTCTTCAATTATTTCAATGTCACCCCTAAATGGATTTTTCAATATGATTATTACCTTACAGCTTCTATTGTTACTTCCTCTTATCCCAGAGTATTTTCCGAAGAACATTATGAATCTACTCACTGGAGTAAGTTTTTCTATGTTTACTTTTGATTTCATAAAGTTCAAAGATATTCCATTCATTGTTGGTCTTACTAAATGGGTATCATACCCCCAGTCTGATGAATATCTAAATGATATTGGGCTTAATTCAGACTCCTCAGTGATAAACTATCTTTCTATTATGGCTACTGTTGTGCTTATTTGATTGGTTCATATTCTCATTGTTATCTGATATAAATGCTCTCAAGAGAAGTTACTCAGAACTTGGACACAGAAATTAATTATAAAGCTTTTTGTATACTTCACGTTCAATGTTTATATAAGAATCTTCATGCATTGGATTCTTGTTTGTTTTGATCTCAATATTTTCTGAATTTTACACTCTGAATCTATCGACCGTGGTCACTAAGATATCGTTTGGGTATTGTGGGATATTCACATTATACTCCTCTGTGTTATATTTACTATCAATCTACATATATGCATCCTCTTTTCCTACAATTAATTATCAAGAGTGCTGGAGCTGTACAGAGTATTTTGAAGGGATAAGATAATCTAGATTCCCGAAGTTATTCTCTACTTTGTATTTATCACTTCTCCTAGTTCTTGTGGCTATCTTGGTCAATGCCTGAGAATTACTCCCGTTTTTCAGGTCAATTAGCTTTTTGATCCTAAATAGTGCTCTCGCTGCCTATTTGTGTTGCGTGAGCCCTTTTAAAGAAACCAAAGATAATATCACAGAAGGGCTAAACCAAATTCTTCTTTTAGTGCTGTCTGTATCTCTTATGTGGATTGAAACCCAAGATCATTGGAATTCATTCTGTGAACATTTTTATACTAATGCGACTCTGATGATTCCTGCTAGTGGAGCCTGTATCAGCTTTATATTTCTACTTAAAATACTAATTTGAAAGATCATCAAATGGAAAAGAAGTAAGAAAGCTGAAATGATTCCGATTCTAACTATTCTTCCTAAAAGTCAGATTGCATGTAAAATAGGTAAGATCGATTAACTTATATTTTCACAATAACAAGTACATTTCTAACAGAACTTTTTACTAGAGCAGAAAGATCCTAGCGATAATAGACTTTCAATGGGAAATTCAACTATTCAGTTCTATAACAAGAAAGAAAGTTCTGATATGAAGAAGTGTAAATTACAATAAAGTTAATCAATAAAATCCTGACAATCTTATTTCAGCTAATTTATATTTTGTTTTGGCATTACCAAAGAGACATGTAATAAATTATTAACCATCTACAACGAACTGTTTAAAAATTTTCACCTAAATCTCTCACGAAACATCTACTTAAGCATCTACAAAATCATCACAGACTTCATCACTACCAAGACATATTTCATCTCTCCCCAAACCCCAAACCTCAAATCTCAATCCAAAATCCACCCCCAGGGGTTTTGGGGTTTTGGGGTTTTGGGG